CTAATTCTTCACACTTATAAGGGAACAATATATTTCAATAATTCCTCTTTTCACTTGAGTTGTGAAAACTTCCATGAGAGATCATTTTTTTCATTTTTTTCTTAGATATACATACATGGTTTTTTTGACATGGATGATCCATGAGTGACTCATCATGAGCATAATATCATTCATGGAGATATTTGTTATGGGTTTACATAATATACACTCTCATTTTGCTAGGCCTCCCCAAGACCGAAATACCACTGGCTATGTTATACCACTGGGTCTAATACTTTAACAAGTCAGTTGTTTACTGCCACCAAGAATATGATAATCGATATTGGCAAAATCATTTTGTTTTTCACATTATATCCAGCTGGCTAGAGCATGCGACATGGATTTTACATCACACCTGAGATTGGCTTTGATTGGACAACTGGTAAAGGAAACCTGTTCAGTTATTTTACCTACGGCGATGCATTTGCTGAGGTTGAAATTGACACGTTGACAGGAGATTTTCACACAAGAACAGAAAATGTTATCTTGGATCTTGGATAATCGCTGAATTCAGCACTTGATGTTGGTCGGGGGTGCCTCTGCCTCCTCTTTCCCATCTTCATTTTCTTTTATGTGTGTCTTTTATTTCATGGATGGCTGAATTTAATTGAACTTTTCAGTTTATAATATTCTTTGTTTTAGTAGCTCCACAGAGAACTACAGCGAGAGCATTTCCTGATCTTGCATTGATTTAAAACTATTATGGGATTTCTTATGATGGGGGATACTGTCCAAACACCAAATGAGAGTTTGCAAATTGGAAATATTTTTTTAGAAGTAACTTAAAACATTCAGGAACTTTTAGCAGGAAGGAAAAATCAGGCTATGCATTCTGCTTTATTTATGAGCTATACTTATCAAATCAATTGGAAAACAAAGCGAGACAACTCTTCTATATTTTTCTAAATAACCTAACACTCTTGGCAGATTGAAGGAGCATTTGGTCAAGGTCTGGGTTGGGTTGCATTGGAAGAACTGAAGTGGGGAGATGCAGCTCATAAGTGGATTCCACCTGGTTGTTTGTACACGTGTGGGCCTGGAACTTACAAAATTCCTTCAGTAAATGATGTCCCCTTCAAGTTCAATGTTTCACTTCTGAAGGTAGTCTTTCTGCCAACTGCTGCTAAAACATTCCAAGTGCTTAATTGTCAGCCACTACGAACCATATTATGTTATTTTTCTTCTTTTATATTGCCAGTGTCATTATGATTACGAAGATTATAAGTTTACAGGTAGTAGTAATCTTTTTGAGTTTAAATCATAAGTTAACATGTAGTTCTTTAGTGAAATTTAGCACGGTTAAATTCTTGCCAATTTGTTTTTTTTCTGCAACCAGGGTCATCCAAATGTAAAAGCCATTCACACATCCAAAGCAGTTGGCGAACCACCATTTTTTCTGGCTTAATCGGTGTTTTTGGCCCTCAAAGATGCCATTATAGCTGCTAGAAAAGACACCGGGTATGAAAGGTGGTTCCCTCTCTTGACAATCCTGCAACACCAGAACGTATCAGGATGGCTTGCTTGGATGAATTTACAGCACCATTTATAAGGTCTGACTTCCTTCCAAAGCTTAGCATTTGATCTGCAGATTAGAATCCATTTGTACCTGGAATAAATGACTTCAGTAAAGTCTCTGGATTTATATAGGGATGGCAATTTCCCCCAATTCTTGCGAAATTTAATGAGAATCTCCATCATTGGGGCTGGGTGGAAAAGAATATTTCTCTTCGCAAAAAAGGGAGTTTTTCCTTGTAAATTTATACAGGAGTTTTCCCCAGCTTACAAGCCACGCAGATATTCTCATTTTTATAAAACATTTTTAAAAATACATAAATTAATTTTATTTTAAATTTAATCCAATCTAATACATCAATACATTTCAAACCTAACTTAATTATTTATGTTGGATTGATATTTATTTATATTTAGACAACTTATATTTGATTTTACCACTTGTTTTGATTTTACCAGTTATAACTAATTATATTTTTAAAACTTGTAAAGGTAGAATTTAAATGTTGTTATTATTGTACAAGGAATAAATTCATTAGTTTAGTTATTTATGTTGGATTTACCTTTATTTATATTTGGATAATTTATATTTGATTTTATATTTAGAAAACTTTAGTTAATTATGTTTGAACTTCTAAAATTTTTATTTACTATAATTGAATATTAATTAATTATAAATAAAATTTTTTTATATTTTAATATAAATTAACAAAAAAAGAGAATCCTTAACAGAAAAGATGAAAGACAAAATTTACCCTTATAAAAAATTCTCACGACGATCTTCATCCCCACAAATAGCAGGGACAAAGATGAAAAGATACTCCGCGAGACCTGTTGACACCCTAGATTCATCAGACACGAAATGAAACAGAAACAAAAACAGAAACAGAAACAGAACTTGAACTTATCTGATCAACTCAAGTACCAGAGCACATATCTCCATATGTTCTGAGGCTAAGACTTCTTTGCAAAGAATA